ATAGTAATAATGTTAATAATAATAATGATAATAACGATAATAATAATAACAAAGTAGCGATAATGATGATGATGGTGATGACGATAATGACAGGGATAATTCTGATACTTGTACAAACACAAATAATAATAATAACATAGATAATCAATAAGGAAGATGATAATAATAATGATAATGATAATAGTAATAAGACTAATAACATTATCAATCATCTTCATAATAATAATGAAAGTGCTAATGATACTATTAGTACTAGTAATTATAACAGTAATAGCAATAATGATAATGATAATAACAGTAACAATGAAATTAATAACGGGGATAATAATGACTATGCTAATAATAGTGGTAATGTCAATGATATCACTACTACTGCTATTACTACTATTAGTGTTAATATAAAATATAACAATACATAATTATGATAATAAGACAATAATAAGAATAATAATGAGAAGGATAATAATAATAGTAAAAAATGATGATAATGTTATTGATAATGATGGGGGCAATGCAAATCAAAATGATGATGACGGATTGATATGATCATGATATGGATCATATCAACATTAATAATAAACCAATGATGATTATAATAATGGTAATGATAATAATGATAAAGATAGTACGAATGATAATAACAGCAATAATGTTACTTATGATGATGACGATGAAATAATGATAATAATAGCAACAATGATAATGAGAATAATGATGATAATAGTAATAATAATCATCATCATCATCATCATTATTATGGTCATAAAAGTAATAACAATATAGATAATAATAATGATAATAATAATGATAATGATAACAATAATGATAATTATAGAGATAACAATAATGATGATAGTGATAAAATTAATAATAATATTAATAATAGTAATAACAGTAATATTTATAATAATAATAATGGAAATTAAAGTGATAACTCAAGTAATAACAATTTGGATAATGAAAGTGATAATGATAAAAATGATGATGATGACAATAGTAACAATAATAATAATGATAAAAATGATGATGACAACAATAACACTAATAATAATGATAATAATAATAATAATAATAATAATAATAATAATGACAATAATAATAATAATGACAATAATAATAATAATAATAATAATAATGATAATAATAATAACAGTAATAATGAAAATGAGAATAGTGACAATACTAATGGTAATACTAATACTAATAATAACAATAATGATAATAGTAATAATAATAATGATTATAATGATGATAATCTTAATAATAATAATAATAACAATAATAATGATAATAATAATGATAATAATAATAACGATAATAATATTTCAACGATAACAATAATAGCAACAATAATAATCATAATGCCGTTGCTGGCTTCCACATTCTCAGTTCGCTTTGAAACATTTTTCTATCGGTTGAGATATTTATTTAGATGATTCAGGTCTTGATTAATCGATTTTCCGACAGTGATACCCGTAATCTCCGTGCATGCATATTATCTCTCTGAGTCTTTGAACTACGATGCGCACGGATAATAATCATATTAATGAAAATTATAATGATAATGATTATAATATCAACACTGGTTATAATGACGATAATAATGAATATTGTTATCATTCTCACTATCATGATAACAACAATATCCGTAATACCTATAACAGTAATAAAAACCATGACCATGCAAATCATAATAGCAATGATAATAATGATATCGATGATAATGATAGTAATAATAATGATAGCAGCAGTAATAATGTAGATAATAATAATAATAATAATAATAATAATAATAATAATAATAATAACAACAGCAGTAGGAATAACGATGATGATGGTAATGATTGCAGTAACAACAATAATGATAACAATAACTACAATGAGGAGGATAACGAAAATGAATAACTTCGCACAGCAAGATATGTATTCGACATATTCGTCTATATCTTCATCAGAAAAGAATAGAGATATAGACGAAATCAACTGAATACATACGTGCAATGAAAATATTTATTCTCATTTATACCATTTTCAACAATATCAATGATGGCGATAATAGTGTCTTTAACAAAGACCGCAGTATTATGGTAATGATATTACAAATGACGATATTAAGAATACACACACACACACACACACACACACACACACACACACACACACACACACACACACACACACACACATATATATATAACAGTCATGGTAATGACAGAGTTGACGATAAAAGCAATGCCAATGTCAATAAGAATAGCAAATAGAAGAGGATATTGCCATAATCACTTGCTTGCAGTGTCGCCAGCATCGCATACACATACACACATAGAGAGAGGGGGGAGGGGAAGAGAAAGAGAGACCCTACGGAAGGTGAAAGTAAAATAAAATATCATGATGCTGACTATGCAAGATTATTACTTTGAAGATTATTATTACAGACACAAAAAGTCGCCGTGTCGATAAGACATTCCATGACTAATCAGTGTTATTTTCTCTTCATCAGGTGCGATCAGGCTTCGTCCAGCCCAGCGAGTCGCCCCGAGAAGTGTTGGATGAACCTCCACCTTACGAAGAAGTCATCAAGACTGAGGCTCCTCCTCCGGCCTATTACACCGTCGTCTCTGAAGCCTACAAGCACGTGCCTTCGCCCGTTTCCCGCACCCTTTCGACCTTTTCGCTCCCAGCTGCTTCTCCGTCTACAAGCTCCGAGAAGTCAAAAGGCCCCAAGCAAGGTCTTAGTTCCACGTGCATCCCCGTCCACAAGTCCTCTAGACAGGTTTCTTCGGCGTCAGGACCCGCTCAGCCCGAAAGTGACTTCCTCGCAACGCCAAGCGGCCGGAGAGCGACCAGCCAGGCACGAGAGCACACGGGCGACAACGGATTTCACTCAGAAGAAAATGTTGGCAGCACAAGACAGACCACAGACCCCATCAGAGCGGCCATTGTGAGAGCTCAAGAGGCGCAGTCTGGTGCTCGGCCAGGCCCTCCGGCTCTCAGGTGCTCGCAGCGCCACCTTGGCCAGCCCTCGTCGGCGCCGTCGGCCCCGCGCGCAGACACACAGCAAGAGCACAGAGCGTGAAAAGGGCCTTTTTGTTATAGTAGTATTTAATTCGGTTGGTCTTACTTCGCCATGGTAAATGCATCTCATAGTTATAGTTATTTTAAGTCAGGGAGTACCTCTCTACATGCATCGAGAGTTACACACACACACACACACACACACACACACACACACACACACACACACACACACATATATGTATATATACATTCATACATATGTGTGTGTATATATATACATATACATATATATATGTATATATGTATATACATATGATTTTTTATATATATGTATATATGTGTGTATGTATATATATATATATATATATATATATATATATATATATATATATATATATATATATATATATATATATATATTATGTGTGTATGTGTGTATGTATGTATATCCACCTAATATATATTATTATGTGTGCTTGTTTGTACCTTTTTGTATAATGCGCGCTTGCTTGCGTGTGTGTGTGCGCGCGCACGTGTGTGTGTGTTTGTGAGCTAGTGAGATTTTATATGATATTTCGTCCTTTTTAGCCAAACCTGTACATATGATTATCATAATGTATCCTTGAATACCATATTCACTGCATTTGTACACATAATACATATCTGTACCTCAAGTTAACTAGAGTTTATCAAAATGGTAATAATATTACCAAAAATAATATTAAGGAATGATCTGTGATAAGAGATATTACATATCTCCTCTGTAATGAATGTATCATGGAAACTCATAATATAATAAAATGTAAAATCTAAACATGTACTTTTTCCTCAAACAAAAATATGAAGCAAAATGATTATCATAATTCTATCCGATATGAAATTAAAGAATTCAACAAACAAGTATAAAGGTACGATTATATAAATGAATACAGGCATTCATGAAAAAAATAATGAATAACTCCGTAAATAAAAAGATAGATACAAATAAACTCTTAAAAAATATTTACAGAGATAAACAAAGTAATACATATATACAAATATACTTACGCACGCAAATACACAAATACAAATATACTTACGCACGCAAATACACAAATACAAAGAAACACACACATATAAAATTTGTATATATATGTGTGTGTGTGTATATATATATATATATATATATATATATATATATATATATATATATATATATATATATATATATATATATATAAGGGTATCTGTGGGAGGGGGCCTCTCATGAATGCATCCTCGAAGTGATGATGCCCGTGAAGCGGGTCGAGAAAATAAGGGCCTGGATAGATGGGCCCTGTTTACCCCATGAAGAAAATAAACAAAAAGTATCTGAGTTCCCTTAAAAGCCCTCAAGGGAGTGTGGGCATCTATGAGACAGAGTGGTGATGCACTAAAGTACCCCTTCATATAATCAAGTTTATCTATTCACACCCAGCTTTCACAAAGTAAGGCAAATCATAAAGTCAGATACAGCCATTTCTCCGGTTCGACGCCGTCTCACTGTAAGATCCATGGAGGACACAAAATACACTTTCGGTTTTAACACTGTTTATTGGTGGGAAACCCCCCTTTACATAGACGAGGGGGGACAAAAAAATACAAAGTTTCGATTGAAAAATTATTTACAATTTTTGTTTTGAAGATACACTACAGAATCGGTAAAAATATAGAAATTATAAAAATCACAAATACCAAAACTGAAAACATAAAACGAACTAAAAAAAATATTATGACAGAAGAACTGAATAAAACTAGTAGCCAGTTTTCTCGGATCATAAAAATAATAAAAATTATCACAGAACATAATGCTAGGTACAAAGTCAATGCTCGATAGCTAACAAAAGAGGGAAATGCACCAAAAACATTTGTGCTTAGGAATCGAAAACAAATAAACAAACTAACAAACAAGCAGGCAAACAAAGCTTCTATTGGCTTACCAAATAAACTATAAAATGAGCAGGTAAGACAAAATACAATATAAAAACAGCAAAACTAAAATCATGCTTAGCAAATTTATTATATTTAAAAACAAATAAGAGCGGCACAAAATGAAGCAATTACTTTAAAATGTACAATAATTTGAATAAAATGCCAGCCTAATGGCCAGAGTGGACATCTAAAAGGGCACAAGATCTGGGGAGATATGTGGGATGTCCTCCGGGATTTCCTACTTTTCCGTGGCCAGGATTTCGGGCAGGAGGTAGGGTAAAGGAGGGATAGACTGAGGGAGAAGGAACAGGAATAACGGTTAGGGCAGAGGAAAGGGAGTGGAAGAAGAAGGAATGGAGGAAAGGAAAGACCATCACTAGATAGGCATGGAGGCTTAGGTCTCTCTTGGGGGTATAAGGCAAATACGCAGAATAGGAAAGTTACTAGAGAGAGGAAACAGTAAGAAGACAGTAAAAAATAAGAAAATAGGAGAAAAGAACAACTGAAGTAAGAAAAGAAAAGAACAGATGCTAGCCTGGGCTAAGAGAGGGAAAGGAAGAGACAGAAGCTAGGAGAGGGAAAAAAATATATATATATATATATGTATATACATATATATATTCATATATACATATATGTATATATACATATATATATATATATATATATATATATATATATATATATATATATATATATATATATACATATATGTATATATGAATATATATATGTATATATATATATATATATATATATATATATATATATATATATATATATATATATATATATATGTATGTATATATATATATATATATATATATATATATATATATATATATATATATATATATATATATATTCATATATACATATTTGTATATATATATATATATATATATATATATATATATATATATATATATATATTTATATCTATCTATATATCTATCTATCTATCTATCTATCTATCTATCTATATACATATATATATATATATATATATATATATATATATATATATATATATATATACATATATATATATATACATATATACATATATACATATATATATATATATATATATATATATATATATATATATATATATATGTGTGTGTGTGTGTGTGTGTGTGTATGTGTGTGTGTGTGTGTGTGTGTGTGTGTGTGTGTGTGTGTGTGTGTGTGTGTGTGTGTGTGTGTGTGTGTGTGTGTGTGGTTGTGTGTGTGTGTGTGTGTTTATATATATATATATGTGTTTATATATATATATATATATATATATATATATATATATATATATATATATATACATATATATATATATATTCACAGGGATACATATATATATGTGTGTGTGTGTGTGTGTGTATATATATATATATATATATATATATATATATATATATATATATATATATATGTATATATGTATATATATATATATATAGAGATATCGGCTATAGGATATTATGTTCTATAGTCGTAATTAGTGTATATAATATATCTTATATTATATAATATAAGATAATATAATAGTCAGATTATACATATTTGATAGATATATATATATATAGGATATATAGATAGATATATATATATATATTAGTGATCTCGATCTAGCGTATAATCTATCTATCATATCTATCTATCTATCTATATAATAGATATAATATATATATATATATTGTATAATATATTACCGCTATATATATACATATATATATCTATCCACATTATATACAATATCACATATATGATCTATATATAACTATATATATAGCACTATTAGATGATATATCTATGTGTGTTGTGTTGTGGTGGGGTATGTGTGTGTTGTTGTGTGTGTTTTTGTGGGGGTGTGTGGTGGGGGTGGTGTGTGGGTGGGTGTGTGTGTGTGGGTGTGTGTGTGTGGTTGGTGGTGTCTGGTGGGTGTTATATATATAGATATATATATATATATATATATATATATATGTATATATGTATATATGTATATACACACATAAATATATATATAAATGTATATATATAAATATATGTGTGTATATATGTGTGTATGTATATATATATATATATATATATATATATATATATATATATATACATATATATATATGCATATATATATATATATATATATATATATATATATATATATATATATATATATATATATGCATATTATATATATATATATATATATATATATATATATATATATATATATATATATATATATATATATATATATATATATATATATATATATATATATATATATATGTAATAATAGGTACAACTTAAAGATTGTTCAAGTCCATGCTCCAACCTGCAGCCACAGTGATGACGAAATAGAAAGCTTCTATGAAGATGTTCATTTAGCCAGCGAAAGAGTAAAAACCCATTTCACAATAATTATGGGTGACTTCAATGCCAAAATAGGAAAAAAGACAGAAGGAGAAACCGTAGTGGGGAATCACGGAATAGGCACTAGGAATGAGAGGGGACAAATGCTAGTCGACTTTGCGGAGGCTCGATCTCTCAATATCATGAATACATTCTTCGAAAAAAGACTAGAGCGGAAGTGGACATGGAAGTCGCCATCGGACATCAAAAACGAAATTGACTTCATAATTTCAAATAGGCGCGATATAGTAAAAAATGTGGAAGTTATTAATAAGGTAAATGTTGGCAGCGACCACAGGTTGGTCAGAGGCCAGATTAAATTACACCTCAGAAGGGAAAGGAATAAACTCATACGAAAACCGCAGACAAACTTGGCTAAATTGAAGACCAAAGCGATAGAATTTAGCATTAACATCCAAAACAGATATTCACTTCTCAGTGATGAGGATCTCAACATTGATCAGATCAACAAACAGTTCAATGACATAATAAAGGAAGCTGCACTTGAAGTAGCCGGTAAGAACGTCAAACAAAGCTCCAGTAAGCTCTCGATGGAAACTAAAGAACTTATGCAAAAACGTAGGGTATTGAAAGCATCGTCAAATAGGGACAAAATAGAATTAGCTGAACTAACAAAAACTATAAATAAAAAGAAGAGAGAAGATGTACGGAAAATCAATACTCAAATAATAAATGAAACAGTGATCTCAGGTACCAGCATGAAAACAGCTAAAAGGAGACTAGGAATAGGGAGAAATCAAAATATATGCAATAA